GTCCTCGCTCCCATTGGCCGCGGAGACCGGTCTACAGGTTCCTCTCCACCCCTGCGCCCCGGGGGCCCCGCCCCTTTTGCGGGTTCCCGGTCCCAAACCCAGGTCCACCCAGCGCTCTCTCCTATTGGTCCGCCGCGGCTCCAACCATTGGCCCGCGGCACCTGTCCATTTCCTGGGAGAGCGCCGCACCTCCGGGTGGAGGGAAGCTCAGCCTGGCTGGGCGCGGTGGAGGGAAGGTGACTCCAGGGAGGTAACGCCGAGCGTTCATTCAGGCCGAAAGGTCGGAGCGCAGGCCACCCCTTTTGTTTGCCGTGAATGCTAGGGCCTCCACTGGTCCGCACCCGAGTGCCTCATCCTATAGGGGCTTTCGAAAGTGGGTAGAGAAAAGAGCCGGGTTGCGCGCACACGCGGAGCTCTTCCTTTTGAGTTGATTCTGAAATCAGAATGCTCTTGGATTCGACTGCGCTGGTCCAACCTGGAGGATCAGCTTCTGCTCCTTCCCTCATCCTCCTGCCCCGGGGCCTTCCACCCCTGTTGGAGCCTTAGAGGTCAGGCCCATTCCAGTGCTTGTCCCAAGAGCTCTTAGGACTACACGCCGCCTTTACGAAGTCTACGCAGCATGCTCGTTCCCGGATTCCTTCAAGAGAAAAATTCCAATACCATCCTTGTTTTAGAATCCAGAAAGGCCGGAGAACACCTTCCTGGGGCTTCCCACTGAGGCAGGGAAAGCTGTCGTGAAGGGAGCTCGCTTTCTTTGAAGAGAATCAACTTTTCTACAATCCCTGGGTGTCTCTCGCCTGAAATTGCCCCTCGGGTCATGCTGGTGACGTCTGCGGAGCTCAGAGCGAGAACCAAATGACAGACACTGAAAGCTGGCACTGTGCTCCTCAGCAAGGGCTGCCTTTTCCCTACACCCTTTGTTGTACTTTGTTTTTCAAACATTAAGAAAGAAGGACACACGAGGCCCCTAGTGTTCTGTGCTTTAATCCTGTCATAGCAAAGTCAGCTTCCACTGAGAAGAGTTTTCTGCTATTTCAAACAAGCCAGTGCTTAAGGATCTGGCCTGATAGCTCCAAATTGTGCTACATTTTCCTCTTCAGAGCAGGAATACAGATGACTTATTTACCAAGAGTTAGTATTTCTCTATTTGCTTGTTTAATTTTAGGTTGGGGTTTGTTATAAGAAAAACGAGCAATTTGGTGGGGGGGAGAACCAGGCCATAGAGCTGGGGCAAGTAAGTGCTTAACACTGGTCTGCAGCCTGCTCAACCTGAAAGTGGAGGCAGGACTGCAAGATTGGTGTGGTTTACCGGTGAATATGGCTCCACTGAACCCTGGGCATCCAACATATTTAAGGTCATAAAGGAGAGAAATGAGATGATACTACTGTTCAAAAGAGCAGCCAGCCAGGCCATGTAGCTCACTAATTCCGGCTACTCAGAAGGCTGAGGCAGAAGGACTGCAAGGGCCATGTGAGCAATCTAGTGACTGAGCAAGACTATCTCAAAATAAAAAGGCCGAGTAGCCTGTGTGGCGGTGCACACTTGTAATCCCAGCACTCTGGAAAACTGAAGCATGAAAATAATAACTTTGAGCCCAGCATAGTCGAATTAGCGATTTAACAAGACCCTGTATCAAAATAAAAAATTAAAAAGGGTTGCAGACATAGCTCAGTACAAAGCCCTGGGTTCAACCCCCAGTAACACGCACGCATTCACACGCATACTCACTAAAGCACATCCAGAGTAGGTCTTGAGAAAGGATTCCTGAAGTAAAGCAATATTCAAGTTCTTACTGTATGTAGAAAAATAGGTGAATGATTCTGAGTAAATTCTGTAGATTTTAGTTAAGATAAAACCATTCCTCCCCCAAGCAGAAGAATACCAGAGAGTAGGTATCTCATGTTTTACAAAGACCTTAAGGTAAAAGGGTTTCTTGATAAAATTTTAATATAAGGGGAAAAGGTGTTTTACAAAGTGGATGTAGACACCCAAAGAGAAAGGAAACACCAGAAAAAAAATGTCTGTAGTGGTCTCTTCAAGTAGTAGGGTTACAAGTAAGTAGGTGACTTTCACTGTCATTTTGTTTATTTGTAATTTTTTGTTCTGTTCTATTTTGTGGATCCCTTGCTTCCTGGGAAAGGGAAAAAGAAAAACAATCCTTGATAACTACAAACAGGAAGACTTTTAATTCCCTGTACAATTTAAATCATTACTACCATCCCACGTGTTTGGGATCTCCTGAAGAGTCATCAAACATTCCAGCAAGTCATTCAGTAAATATCTGTTGAATAGATAAGTACTAGGAATTCAAATTAGAGAAGATCCTTCTGTGTAAAGCTGTCGGGCAGGACTTCAGGAAGAACCCGAATCAGAGGCAGAAAGTGCCCGTGTTCCTGAAAGGATGGAGGGGCAGGCACAGACTCCGAGGTGGGCTCTTTGGATGGCGTCGAAGAACACAAAAGAACTCTGAAAAGGTAGGAGGAGAGGAGATTGTGATTGCTTGATTCATACTAGTAATTATTTAATTGATTATTTGCAATTATTTAATGCCAAGTATGTTTGCCATAAGGGTGGGGACTAGTCTGTCTGGTTCTCCCAGTTACCCCAGGACCAGAGAGTGCTCAGCACACGACTGACTCTCAGCACGTTTTGCAACTGGAGGGCCAAGTTAGCAGCAGCTTGGGAAGTCTGGGCTTTGTTCAGCACACAAAAGGCCATCCCTGCAGGGTCTGGAGCAGGGCCTCCTGATGATCAGACTTACCCTGAGTGAAGACCGGGATGTGTTGAGGAGATGTGCAGGTGGGGATGGAGGGATGTGTGCAACGTTATCAGAGGAGAACAGAAGTCACAGAAATGGGCAGTGAGGGCCTGAGGAGCAATGATAGAAATTCCAGCCTGAGAAGAGGGGAGAGAGCAGGGGGAGGTGAAACTGCTGAAATAAAAGAAGGGCAGGGTGAAATACAGGGGCAATCGCCATGATTTCACCACGAGATTCCTGAGCAGAGAGGGCTGATGAATCAATGAAAAAAAGAACATTTTCTCTGAGGCACTGAGCGGTATAGAACACGGGGCGGGGAGGAAAGAAGAGCGGTTGGTGATGCAAATTAGCACTAGACTCAGGTCAGAAGGTCATGGTGTATCCTGAGCGTGTGACCCTGAGCAGGGTGCCTGTCTGAACCTTGGTTTCCTCATCCTGAAATAGGTGTAATAATAGAACCTGTCTTTTATGGATGTCTCTAGGGGTTAATGAGATGAGACCTACAAAAGCATGCTGCTAGCACGGAATAATTATTCGGAAGTATTTCTTTCTTTCCCCCCTCAGAAACGTGTTTCATTTGCCCTCGAGAAAACTGCTCAGGCCTTTTGCCTGGACTTTTCTCAAAAAAGGGGGTTGGTGGGGAGAAAGAAGGAAGGAAAAAATAAGGACAGTAGAGAAAGAAGGAAGGGGAGAGTGAACAGGAGCCAGCGGGGTAGACTAATGGTAACAAGTTTAGGCCTGGATTCTGAATGAATTTGAACCCGTGCTTGCTGGGAGCTCTGCGGTGAGTTACCCCCCTGTGCCCAGATCCCTTACCTGGAGATTGGGGATAATAATACCACTCTCTCTAGGCTCCTGGAATGATCAAGGGACATGATACATGATATGTGCTGAACACAGACTCTACTAGCACCTAGTTTTCATGATTTGAACCTAAAATACAGTTTAGTGGATGTCACCCTCCCTTTGAGTTCTTTAGGGAAAATTTTTAAATCAGTATTTTGGTGCTAAAATCCCTCAAGCAGGCATTGACCTTTTCTGAGAAAGAGTTCAGCACACCCCTCTCATTTCTCATATTATACCAGTTCAGGAAAGGAGCCCTAGGTCCTTATTCATGAGATCCATTTGTATCAATATGATTTTTTTTCAGTACTGGAAATTGAATCCAGTGCCTTTGAACCGAGCCACATCTCTAGCTTCTTTCTTCTTCCTCCTCCTCCTCTTCCTCTTTATCATCATCATCTTCCTCTTCTTTTTTTCAGTTTTTATTTGAAGACAGGTTTTCACTAAGTTGCCTAGGCTGGGCTCAAATTTATGATCCTCCTGCCTCAGCCTCCCAGAGTGCTGGGATTACAAATGTGTGCAACTACATACAGCTTTAAATATGATTTTAAATGGATGGTGGGGGAAGGTGTACAGTGGGACTAATGGAACAAAAGTTTATAAGCCAGACTCCAGTTCAGATTCCTGATCAACTAGGCGTGACTTTGGGCCAGGCACTGCACACCTCTCTGAGCCTTTGTATCATTGTTCCTAAAATGAGGTTGTGTAAAATGTGGCTTTCCTAAGGATTAGCGGGGAAAATAGGGGTCTCCTGGTATTATCTAATACACAAGCGCTCAATTAATTTGTAAACTGTGCTTAATGCCATTGATAGTGTTGTAATTCTTGTATTTTTATGAGTAATGCTGTTTGAAACATCACAATGGTAAGAAGTCTTGCCTTCTTTCTTCTTCCTCTTATCTTTTATGAAGACCATGGTTTAGACCATGGGGCTGCTCAAAACATCACATCTCTAGAGAGAGTTACATTTTAACATTGATCAGAGCCTTTAATCAAGGAGTGAAGGTCAAATAGAATTTCTGTTCCATCTGCTCCAGTAGCAGAGTGAGCCCCTGGGACGGCTCTTTGTGAAGTTTCACTGCGTATGTCCATGCTGGGCCCACAAAGACTTCATATAAGCCTTTCAGTCAGGAACCCCCAGATAGGTCCAATCAAAAAGCAAGAGATGCCATTAAAGAAATTATCCCTGAAACTGGGGTTAGTGAGGAACATGAAATTACGGGAAATGATCACAAAGTGGGAGAAAAAGATCTGTCTGGTACAATTATAAAATAATGCTTTTAAATACGATGATCACAAAGAGTAACATATTCCTAATTATGTGTAAAATATATTTGCGTTAATATTGAAAGTAACATATCATGATGTGGACAGCAGTTATCTCTAATCTAGAGTAAAAGTGATTATTTTCCCTATCCTGTGCTATTTAGTATTTTCTACCATTAAAATGCACTGATTTTCTAATTAGAAAAGTAAGACACAGAAAGTCAAATACAACATGATCTCATTTATGTGAGAACCTGAAAAGCTGAGTTCATGAAGCTGATAAAATGCTGGTAGGCTAGGGGGGCGGCGGGAGGTGCCTCAAAGCACACATTTCAGTTAGAGAAGAAAAATATGGTGAGCCGGGGCTTTAGCTCAATGGTTCCACCGCCTGCCTCGCAAGTGCAAGGTCCCAAGTTCGATCCCTGGTACCAAAAAAAAAGAAAAAAGAAAAATATGGTGAACATAGTTAATAATAATGTATTCTATACTTGGAAATTGCTAAGAGAATAGATTGCATGTGTTCTCACCACAAAAATAAAATTCTGTGAAGTAAAGCACACATTATTAAGCTTGATTTAACCATTGCACAACATATACATACAGCAAATCTTCCTGTTGCACGCCGTAAATGTATACAATTTTGTCAGTTAAAAGAGGCTACCAAAAAAGAACAGTATGTTACTGCTGATGATTATAAAAATTTCTAACGATGTAGAGAGGTGCACAATATGATAAATGAAAAAATCCTTTATACAGTATGATCACAAATGTGTGTGAGGTGTGATTAAAAGCTACAATGAATGGTTACCTAAAAGTTTTAAAATGTTACAGTAAGCTATTCCACCTTCCAAGCACACTTATGCCATGATTCTTGCCGTTCCTTGAGCGGTTCTAGGAGTCCTCTTCCATGGGTGTCTTTAATTCCCCTGTCATGGCTGCCTCAATATACCGAATAGGTTCAAAACATTTACCTTTCATGGTCAAAATGGAGAAGAGCCAGAGGTCACAGGATGCCAGGTGCGGTGAAGAAGGTGGATGAGGATACACTGCAGTAGTTTTACAAAACTGCCCTCCTGTTGGGTGGCGCTCAGTAGCAGCCTTCACCCAGTTTTTTATTACACTTTGGAAAGACACAACAGAAGACTTCAGATGTGCTTCAGAAAGTGGCAAGAATGACAGGATATGTGTGGCTGAAGTGAGGAGGAGGCTTCTGAGGGGGATTCGTGGCAATGTGTCTTTTATGGTAATAAGTTTTTTAAATATTCAAACACCCACTGTGTTGTTTGATCACACCATCGGTGTGTGTGTGTGTGTGTGTGTGTGTGTGTGTGTGTATCAAAATATTTTTTAACTAAATGGCAGGATATGGGTCATTTTTCTTGCCTTCCTTTTACTACTTGTCCTTTTTCTCTTTTTTGACCCTTAGTGAGAGGCTTCTTTTTAATACATGTGGCGAGGAGAGTTCAAGTTACAGCATAACATAACTTGTCTAAGTGTTGGAATAATTAACTACAAAATTACTGTTTTAGTCCTCATGAATAAATTTCAAAGGGGGAGCATTGTTAACTGGAGAGATGGTAGAAATGATACAGGAGGGAAAAATTATCCTTGAGAATATTAATAATCATATAAAATACCAATAATGATGGCTACTATCAATTACAGGCCCACTGAGTACCGTGCATTGTTCATGATCTATTTTGTTTATCTGAGCTCTAAAAACTTTTCCTTATTAACAAAGGCTGGGTTCCAAATGCTTCTCCTCATTCCCCGCCCTCCTTCGGCACGGAGGGGCCGTTCTTGATGGTGCGCAGATGGACCGGAGGGTTAAGTTAGTACTTTGTGGCCTCACGAACCTAACCCAGGTGGAGTCTTCTGCCTTTGATCCTTCAGCTTTTCAAAACGTCGTCATTAAAGCATGTTAGTAAGAAAGACTTAGCCCAACTTTTCAAGTCACGGTTTGAACTCTGAGATTTATGCCTAAGAAGAATAAGAATCTGAAACGATATCGGTTTAAGGATTTCTTGTTATTTTCTATTGAACAAATCAATGCAGTCTGATGAATTAGCAACTCTCGCAGTTGCTGTGAACACGTTTTACAACAGCTGCAGCTGTTTCCTAATAAATGTGGCACAGCAGTAACCTCTTGGAGGCAATGGTAGGCTACTTCTCCACCTCGTGGTGCTTTGGGGTTGGCGTTTTTCCTAATTATTGTACTTTTTCTTCCCCCGCGCCCCCGGTTTTACATTTTAAATCCTGTAAGTAACGCTAGCGGCCGCTGGGTGGAGCCCTTTAGATTCTTTAATGTGGAAACTAGGATCCAGACAGATGATGCCTTCAGCAACGGAAAGGCTAGCATCACTGTAGACAGAGAATGGAGAGTTGGTTTGGGGGAGAATCTCAGAACTGTAATGTTAGACATGCTAAGTTAGAGATCACGTTTCTACCAGCTCCCGGAGGAGATATCAGATAGGCAGTTGATTATATAGGCCTGGAGTTCAGCCGGGAACTGTTCAGTTACAACAGTGCAATCACTGAAGACATTAACTATATACATATTACTACGGGCACAGTAATGATTAGAAAACTCAGGCTCAAATGATAAAA